TTATGATATGCCTTGGTGGTTTTCTTTTGGGATCTATCCTATATGGGGTTCGTTGGATGGTCATCTTTTCATTTTTCATGATACGGAAGTTTTCTGTCAGCAATTCTTTGATGATCCTCTCTGTGTTTTCTGTTTTCTCCTCCTGTTCTGGAACTCCGATCACTCGTAGATTTTTGCTTTTGATTGTATTCTGCATAATTCTCAGAGTATCTTCATTTTTCTTCATTCTTTTTTCTGATTTTTCTTCAAACAGAGGTGTATCCAAGTGTTTGTCTTCAATTTTGCTGATCCTGTCATCTGTCGTTTCAAACCTGCTCGTCAGCCCTTCTCTGACACTGTCCATTTCTGAAATCTTGTTGTTTATCTTTTGTATTTCTAATTGTTGTTTTTGTATAACTTCTAGTTGTGAATTTATTTTGGGATTTTGTTCCTGCATTATTTTCCTGAATTCTTCCATTTTTTTGTCTCTATTTTCCATGAATTTGTCTATTTTTTCCTTATTGTTGTCTTTTTTTTGCTTCAACTGTTGGATAATTTTGAATATTAGAGATTTCATTTCCCTATCAGTTAGTTCTAGTTGCTTTTCTTCTACTGGAAAGTCATCTGATGTTTTATTTTGGACACCTACTAGAACCATCCTGTCCTTTTTTTGTAAATGTTTTGATCTTGGCTGCTGTCTTTGGGGCATTCAGTAGTTATTTTCCTCGTTTATTGATTGTAGATTTATTTGTTTCATCCTGCTTTTTTGTTTTATTTGGGTATGTCTGAGCAGGTGGGATGTATGTTCTTTGTTGTTTGCTCATCTGGTCGGACAATACTTTTCGCCTCCTCCAACGGGCAGGGTCAGTTGCTCATGTATTGTACGGCAGGGCAGGTCCAGCTGAAGGGGAGTTGCTGTGATGGATTGTTTGCGGCAGGTACTAGGCCTGACAGTGCAGTCTGGGAATCAGTGCAGGGCAGGTTCCGGTAGGCTGTAACTGTGCTGCGTGGGAGTGTGATGTTCAGCGCAGGATGCGGGTAGGCAGGAAGAAGGGAGTAGATTGTGATGTGTGGAGCTAAGATGTATATGGGAAAGGTGAGAGAGAGGAGAGAGGAACAGGAACTAAAAACATACACACAAACAAAAAAGAGTGCTAAGGGAGCTTGCTATTGGAGTCGAGAGATGAGAGACATAAATGGGGAGAAACAAAAATAAAAAAAAATGGAAAAAAGGGTAAAAGAAAGAAATGAGTAAATCGAGAAACTGGAAATGAAGAAAGACAAAAAGCGAATAAGAGAGAGAAGAAAAGCAAACAAAGAAACAAAAAAAACCCAAAAAAACAAAAAGAAGAAGAAAAAAATGCCCCCAGTGATGTCCCTGTGCATCTGCCCAGAGTTAAGGAGTAGCTTCCACGCCGCACGGTACTGCCCAGCTAGAAGGGGCTCCTAAGCCGAGAAAAGAAAAGAGAAGAAACAAACAAACCAACAAACCAAAGCAGAACAAATCAGAACAAACAAACAAAAAGCCCCAGAGATTCCACCAGGGTGGTGATACGGGCCAGGAGGCAGTTTCACAGTCGAGTGGTGGTTCACAGCCTTTCAGGAAGGCGTAAAGATGGCACACGGAGCCAGGTATTTGAGAGAAAGGAGGGAGAGGTGGTGAGAGGTAAGGAAGAAATCTAAAGAAGTGGAAAAAAAGCAACACCAGCAGCCAACAAATGGCGCTCAGAAAGCTGGCCAGTGCGGGTGGGTGGAATCCAGACAACACCAGGGTGAAACCTGCACTTCTCAGCTAAGAGACTGTGGCTGCGGGAAGCAGAGGAAGCCTTGTGGGGGTGAAGAAGGGTTGGGGGTGGGAAAGCGTATATCGCTGGTTACCGGGTGTTCTGTCTCCTGCTGGAAGTTCTGTGAAGCTGTTTTCTCATACCCCTTGTTCACTGATCTCCGATAGGCGTCGAAGATGGTGGATCCGTGCTGGGGTAGCTGTTAGGGAACCTCTGCGTATATCTCTCCTTGCACTCTGTTCTCAGTCAGTTTCTTATTGCATTCGGTGCTTGGCTGAGTTCTTTATCTCTTCATTTGATGTTAGGGTTTCAGGATTGACGTGTGACTCTGTTTGACTTAGTTTTTCGGATCTTTGCTGTGGAGGGACGGCATGATGCTTCTGACTATAGCACCATGTTGCCCGGAAGTCAGAACTTCATTTCTTTTAATGTCTGAATAATATTCGATTGTATGGATATACCACAGTTTGTTTATCCATTCGTTTGTTGATAGACAGTTGGGTTGTTTCCATCTTTTGGCTATTGTGAATAATGCTGCAGTGAACAGTGGTGTACATGTATCTGTTTGAGTCCTTGCTTTCAATTCTTTTGGATATATACCCAGGAGTGGAATTGCTGGGTCATATGGTAATTCTGTTTAACTTTTTGAGGAGCCACGAAATTGTTTTCCACAGCAAGTGCGCCACACCAGAATGCACAAGGGTTCCAGTTTCTCCTCATCTTTGTCAACACTTGTTATTTTCTGTTTTTTCTTAAAATAACCATCTTAGTGAGTGTGAAGTGGTGCTCCACTTTAGTTTTGGTTTGCCTTTCCCTAATGACTAATTGCAAACCCTGGTGATGTAGTAGTTAAGAGCTGTGGCTGCTAACCAAAAGGTCAGCAGGTTGAATCCACCAAGCACCCCTTGGAAACCCAGTTGGGCGGTTCTCCTCTGTCCTGTGGGGTCGCTATGAGTCGGAATCCACTCGATGGCAACGGGTTTTTTTTAATGACTACACATACACCTTTTAAACTTTCACTTACTATATCTTTCCATTTCCACTTATGCACATATATATTTTTCTAATTTTTAATTGTATACCTTTGTATAGATGTACCATAATGAATTTAACTCTTCCTCTATTGATGATTACTATCACCTGTCTGTCATTTTGTCGTACTGTGGTTGCTTGGTGTTGCTTTGATGCTGGAAGCTATGCCGCTAGTATTTCAAATAACAGCAGGGTCACCCATAGTGGACAGGTTTCAGCAGAGCTTCCAGACTAAGATGAACTAGGAAGAAAGGCCTGGTGATCTACTTCCAAAAATTAGCCAATGAAAACCCAATAGATCACAAGAGAATATTGTCTGATACAGTGGCTGTAACAATGGGCTCGCGCATACCAGTGATTGTGAAGACGGTGCAGGACCAGGCAGTGCTTTGTTCTCTTGTACATTGGGTTGCCATGAGTTAGCCAACTCAAAGACAACAACAACACTGATGAATATCATCTCCCTCCCTCACTCCTTCCTTCTCTTCTTCTTTCACTTTGTCCCTTCTCCTTTCCATCCCCTCTCTCTGTTTCTCTTTGCCATTTGTGATGTAAGCATTGCTGAAATTAAATACCTATTAATTTCCTTGTTACTTGTGACATCTTCAGAAAACACCTATTATTCATGTTTTCTTAATGCTTAAAATCCTTTTGTCTTAAGATAGGTTGATACAGTCTATAAGGTGGGGTAAAATGTTTGGATTTAGTTTATTTTTCCTGCTTGATCCAGGAATAGTCTTACTAGGTTAGCAACAGTGTGGTTTCTGTGTTCAAGTGTGGGACATGATGTTTGTTGTTTAGAGGAAATAAGGCATATATAAAATCTGCTGACTTGCATAGGTAGATGACATTAATGATATTCTATATTTAAGAATAGTTAGTTGCTACAGTTAGGATAGTGATGGACATGACATTATTCTTTTATGTTGTAGATTACAAATACATTTTAATATCTCCTAGTAATAGAATATTGGTATTCTATGATTAAAATATTTTATTTAGAAAGGAACTTTGCTTTTGGGATATTTTAAATAGTATGCTTTCTCTGACTTTTATGGGAGATCAGTTAGATCCCTGGTAATTTATCTCTTATTTCTGAGAGAGTGGCTTTAGGGTCCTTAAGCACTGATTTTAGGTTAAAAATATTTTTAGGTCTCAAGTGTAGCTGCTTTGGTTGGTTTTTTTCTAAGTCCATTCAGTTTGAAGTAATTTTCTGTAATCTATGTTATGAATTTAGGGTTTCTGTGATAATAAAATGGATAATTTAATTCCCTAATATCCTGAGATTGGTAGAGAATCTCTGAAGAGTGTTTAGAGTCATTTTTTTGTTGTTGCTTGGTTTTTGTTCTTGATTCTATGCTTATCCCTACAGTCAGTCCAGTGTAGTTCTTTTACCAACCTATAAATTTATTTTCCCCACTGCTTGAGTGTAAGATGGAATGCTGAAGAAAGAGCAAAATTTTTGAGAATTTATTCAAATAAAGTATATTTTTGAATGCTTAATATGTAAAGAAAAAAAAGTGCTAGGCCTTGGGGATGATTAAAACAAGATGAGTATACTATCTTTTTGAACAAATTAGCTTATAGTTTAATAGTTGGTTCCTTGTCTAGTTTTTGCTATGACTTGTCTCTGCATGGTGCCAGTTCTTTCTGGTATTAAATACAAAGGATTAAGAGGAATTTATCTTAGCTTTTGGGTTGAGCTAAACAGCTAATCTTGGACAAACCCTCACTCGTTGTCTCTCCGCTTCTTTTAAGAGTTAAAGTGGAGAGCAGATGGATACAGAGCAACTGATCAGAAATTCAGAAATTACAATTATATAATGGAAGTCAGTGGTTAAATAGTCTTTTTTTCCTCTTAGGATTTCTATAGTATATTCATTCCCTAGAACTATGTACTTTTATTAAAATTATTTTATTAGACTATTTTGCCTAATTCTGCTTTTTTTTGTGGGGGGTATTCAGTTAGTCTATATTGTACTTTAGTATGAAACACAGCATGAATTACAGGTAGGAAAAAGATAAAAGCATCCTCACCACTAATTAAGTGACAGTTCATCTGACCAAATCTTGGCAGTGTGGACATGTGAGAACTGTAGACAGGGTATAAAAGAAAATAAGTATTTTTAACTTGTTTCCTCTAGTGCTTTGAGACTCTTGAAATATAAGTCAATTTAATTTTTTTCAATTTGTATTGTTTTCCAGTTTTCCGCCCCATATCTGCTAAAGCCAAACTTCAGATGAATCGTCGATCAGATTTTGACTTTTCTGAGCCCAAAATAAATCTGGATGTTGAGTTACATGACATAGCCATTGAATTTAATAAACCACAGGTAATTTTTCAAGTGGAATTTAACATGAGTTATAGTTTGACAAAAACAGAACTAAGATTTTATAATGTTAACCAAAAATTCATAGTGTTAAATAGTAACATTTTCTGTATAACTTGTAAAAATGTCAGTAACTTAACCTTTGTCTTTAATAATTGGAGAAAACTTTTTGAGACACAAGCTTTTACCTTTTCAATTCTTCAGTATTTCAGTCTTATGGAGCTTCTTGAATCAGTTGATATGATGACACAAAATCTGCCATACAGGAAATTCAAGCCTGATGTACCTCTTCACTACCATGCCAGGGAATGGTAAATGCTTTTTTATAAAATATTTAAAAAATAGAAAATAAAAGTGAATTTCTTGACTTAAAAAATAATTTTTAAGATAGTCTTAAGGTGTGATGCAAATTATAGTTTGATTTTCAGCTAGAAATATTTGTAGCTGCTTTTGCTTATAATGTTAATGAAATTGACTTAAGGGATTCTTTCTAATGGAATTTTCATTTACTGCAGAGGTATCAGTATTTATGTAATTGTTAAGAAACAATACCCCAGTTTATTTTCTAGCAATGTCTTTTTTTTTTTCCTCCTCTAAATTTCCATAGCAAACACTCTAATATCTGTATTTTTCAGGTTATGGGAGTCTATAAAGTACCACCCCTTTTATAAATTCAAAAGTCTTGCTATTCTAGTTTTTAAGTTATGCTCGTTTCTAGAAGCTACAATTACTTTAGGTGCCTAAAGTTATATCTGCCAATTAATGACATACTAGAATGTGCGTAAAGCTATATTTATTTTATCAAAATTGAATAATGTTGCTTATTTTTACTTAAAAAAAACCCTTTGCTATCAAGTCGATTCCCACTCATAGCGACCCTATAAGACAGAGTAGAGCTGTCCTATAGGGTTTCCAAGGAGCACCTGGTGGATTTGAACTGCCAACCTTTTGGTTAGCAGCCAAACATTTAATAACTGTGCTACCAGGAAAGATTAATAATTAATGAATTGTTATTGCATAAATAGTTGGGAAAAACCAAGTGCTTAGATAATAGATCATTTTCATAGTCTCTGTATTAAAGATTTCTGTGTTATAGTTATGTTTGTTGTTAGAGTAGAAGCAATATTAATTATTTCATACTGTTGATTTGTTGGTGTTAAGTGTGGGGTTTTTGTTTTTGTTTTTTTGACTAGGTGGGCTTATGCTATAAATGGTGTTCTTGAAGTAAATATTCGTCCCAGCTTACGGATGTGGTCATGGAAGCATATTAGAGATCATAGGCAAAAAGTGAAGCAGTATAAAGAACTGTATAAAAAAAAGTTAACAACTAAGAAGTTGACTGGTGACATTCTTCTGTCTTTGGAGGTTAGCATTTAAAAAAAAAATGTTGAATATTTTTTACTATGTAACTCCTCCTCAGCCTTTAGTGACTAACGCTTCCTATTTATTTGCTATAATTTTGGCTGACCATTCTGTCTCTTTTACTTAGACTTTTTCGTATTCCTGTTCCTAACGTCGGTTAAGCTCTGGTAAAATTCTTCTGTGAACTTTTGAAATTTGAGATTGTTATCAATCTGGAAGGATTTGGGTTTATGCAAATAGTAACTTGAAGCCTCAATTTATTATGATACTTTATTAACTTCAAGAGCTCCACTGATTCCAAATTTCTCTTCCTCAGTTTCAAAGCCTTATGTTATCAGTTACCACTACATTTCCCTTATTGTTTTCATCTGACTGTGCATTCATCAGATGTATGTCCTGCCTTCTATTTCTGTCATGCTCATTCGTAGTGCTGTGCCTTTGCTCATATAATCCATCAACTTTCTCTCTTCTCTTTGCCTATCCATTGCAACTGTACTCATCTGTCAGGTTTTTTCTTAAGTCCTATCTCTTGCATGAACTTTTCCTGAATTTCCTGCCCATATAGAGGTATTTTTTCCTCTTGATTCTTCTGGCATTTTTAGTATTTATCAGCAATTTTACATTTAATTGTATGTACTGAGTGTTCTCTAAGTATTAGTCTTATGAAGTAAACCAAAAAACCAAACCCATTGTGGAAGCAAAACTGCCACATCTTTCTCCCTCGGAGTGGCTGGTGGGTTTGAACTGCTGACCTTTGAATTGGCAGCCAAGCGCTTAACCACTGTCCCACCAGGCCTCCCCTTATCAAGTAAACCTGTTGTTGTTGAGTCGATTCAATTCATAGTGACCCTATAGGACAGAGTAGAACAGCCCCACAGGGTTTCCTTGGAGAAACTGGTGGTTTCGAACTGCCTTAGCAGCCAAGCTCTTAACCACTGTGCTACCAGGGCCCCATTATCAAGTAAAGGGCCTGCTTTTTAGAGTTATGGAATATTCTGGAAGAGACTGTTTTACAGATAGATTAAATACAGGTTAGAGAGATTAAAAGGCGTTAGCCTCTTGAAATGAATATGACCATTCTGAATCCATACCAATTTTTAATTAGAAACTCCTTAAGTATTTTTTATTTTCAAGTTGAGAGACTTCCTGAAGATTGAGGGCTATTAGGAATGCTTGGGTTTAGAGGGGTTTTGGAGTAGTTACAGATTTCCTTACCCAAACCCAAATCTTCCATGTCTGCTGGATCCAACCCCAAACCCTGGGTTATTTAGATAATAGTAGGTCATGGTTCTTCTCTTGGGCTGGGGGGTGGGGTGTGCGTGGGGAAAGTCGTTTGAACATGAAACTCTTGAAAGTAATCATTTGAATGTATAGGTATAGTGAAAGACTTAGTTTATGCCAGTAGCCATAACAAGTTTGAAAAGTGTACAATTAAAAAAAAGTTTTAAGTGTAACTAGGCCTACGTAGACTATCTTAATGATAACATATGAACTTTACTCATAATAAGACAGGTTTGTAATTGTATTTTTAGTTGACCATTGTTCTAATATGTTTACCCTTAGCTGTAGTTAAAACCCAAATAAAAGTCATTTTATACAATGCATGTATGGTATCTTTTAGTATGTGTTATACCTCTTATAGAGTTTGTAATCTTATATGCATGACCTCAATGATTTCTTTGTTGAAAAGGTTATTCCATCATTATTAATTTTCAAGCTGATATTATATGTATTTATATGTACTGCTTCACAGAATTTAACAAATGCATTATATTGATGGACATTCTGTTTTCTATCGTATCTTTTCTTTAGTGCAGCAATTTGATGGATTATATACTGAAGTTATTTATGTAAAGTTAAAATTTTTCTTTAAAATATTTTCAGGAGTTGGAAAAGATCCTGGATGTATTTAATTTAACTTTAACAAGACAACAGGCAGAAGTTGAGGTAATTCCAGATTATCTTCCAATTAGTAAAAATAAATCTAAACTCCATATAGCTGTATCAGAAAATGTGATGTCATTAGTACTGTACTGCAATATTCTGTTTCCTAAAGAGTTCAGATTTACTTCTGTATGTTATAAAAATATTTGATATAATGTTTTCCACATCCATTTAAATTAGACAGGTTTTTATAGGAAAAAATTTTAACTAAATAATTGGGAATCAAATATTCAGAGGTCATTTGAAGGTGAAAAGCCTTTTTTTAAAAAAAAATTTGGTGGTCTTCAGCTCTTGTTAAAGGTAAGAACTATATGGTAATCCTAAAATCTTTGTTTAGCTAACGTTGCAGTACTGTGTTCTATGGTCAGTATGCATATTGTTTACATTTATTCACTCAGTTAAGTTTTGGAAATATTAAGTTTCTATTTAAATTGCTAAGTAAAGGATAATTTGTCATTATTTGAAACTTCATTGACTGTAGGTAAAGAAAGCTGGATACAAGATTTACAAAGAAGGGGCAAGAGATACAGAGGATAATAGAGGATGGTTAGACTGGCTGTGGAGTTGGTCAGAAGCAAGTAGTGAAGAACAACCAGATGTTAAACCTGGAAGTATGTGCATTTATTTTTTAATTCTAATTTTTTATATTTGTTGTATGTTTAGGGCTTTTGTGTCTGGTTTGTTTCACTTAGCATGTTTTCAAAGTTTATCCATGTATCAGCACTTCATTCCTTTTTTTTTTTTTATTTGTGAAAAATATATATCACAAAACATTTTTGCTATTTCAACATTTTTTACATGTACAATTCAGTGACATTAATTACATTCATCATGTTATGCAACCATCACCACTGTCCATTTCCAGATTTTTTTCATCTCCCTTAACAGAAACTAACTGCCCCTTAATTAAGCAATACCCCCTTCCCCCCTCCTACCCACCCTGGTAACACTAATAAACTTTGGTCTCTGTGCATTTGCCTATTTAGATATTTCGTGTAAGTGGAATCATACAGTATTTGTCCTTTTGTGTCTGTTTTACTGGGCATAATATTTCAAGGTTCATCCATGTTGTAGCATGTTTCAGAATTTCATTTCTCTTTATGGCTGAATGATATTCTATTGTATGGATATACCATATTTTGTTTATACATTCATCTGTTGATAGATACTTGGTTTGTTTCTACCATTTGGCTATGGTAAATAGTGCAGCAGTGAACATCGGTATAATTGGATATAATACTTAGGAGTGGAATTGCTGAGTCATGTGGTAATTCTATGTTTAACTTTTTGCAAAACCAACAAACTGTTTTCCACGGTGGCTTCACCATTTTACAGTCCCACCAGCAGTGGATGAGAGCTCCAATTTCTCCACGTTGCCACTAACACTGGTTCGTTTCTGGTGTTGTTTTTTTTTTTTTTTTTGCTAATAACCATCTTAGTGGGGTGAAGTGGTCTCTAATTGTAGTTTTGATACACTTTTCCCGGATGACTAATGACGTTGAGCATCTTTTTATGTGCATGTTTGCCATTTGTATATCTTCTTTAATAAAATATTTGTTAAAGTCCTTTGCCCATTTTGTTTGATTGGGTTGTCTTTTTGTTGTTGAGTTGTACGAATTCTTTATGAATATTCTGATTATCAAAGCCTTATCAGATAAATGGTTCCCAAATATTTTCTCCCATTCTGTATGTTGTCTGTTCACTTTGTTGATAGTGTTCTTTGATGCACAAAATTCTTAAAATTTTGATTATGTCCAGTTTATCTATATTGTTATTTGTTACTCGTGTTTTTGGTGTCATACTTAAGAATCCATTGTCAAAAACTAGATCTCAAAGTATTACTCCTATGTTTTGTTCTGTTTTATGGTTTTAGTTCTTACATATCAGTCATTGGTCCATTTTCAGTTAATTTTTGTTTATAATATGAGGTATGAGCCTGGCTTCATTTTTTTTTCTTGTGGATATCCTGTTTCACAGCACGTTTATTAAAGAAACCATTCTTTCCCCATTGAGTGGACTTAGTACCCTTGTGAAAAATCAATTAACCATAGATGTATGGGTTTATTTCTGGACTCTCAATTCTATTCCATTGTTCTATATTTCTATCATTATATCAGTACCAGATTGTTTTGATTACTGTAGCTTTATAGTATGTTTTGAAGTTGGATGTGTGAGTCCCCCTACTTTCTCTTCTTTTTGAAGATTGCTTTGGCTTCTTGGGGTCCCTTGCAGTTCCATATACACTTGAGAGTTGGCATTTCCATTGAAGGCTGTTGAAATTTTGATAGCGATTGTGTTGAATCTATAGATTGCTTTTGGGAGTATTGATATATTAAGTCTTCTAGTTCATGAACAGGAAATGTGCTTCCATTTATTTAGAAATTTCTTTCAACAAAGTTTTTTTTGCCTTAATTAATAATAATTAATTAATTATTTCAAATCAGTTTTATTGAAGTTTAATTACATTAAAAAGTTCAGTTTTAAGGCACAGAATAATGAGTTTTGACAGATGTATACACCAAGTAACCACAAAACAGTCAAGATATAAAACATTATCATAATTCAAAAAAATTCTCTCCTACTGCCCCTTTGTAATCAGTAGCCCTTTCTCAGCCAGAGGCAACTAAGGATCTGCTTTTTTTCATTATAAATTAGTTTGATCCATTTTTGAATTTTCATATAAATGGAGTCTTGTGTATATTTTGTGTCTATCTTCTTTTGCAAAGCTTAATTTTTTTTTTTTTTGGTGAAAATATAGACAGCAAAAGATATACCATTTCAACAATGGTGTATCAGCATGTCTACATGTACAATTCACTGACATTGATAACTTTCTTCAGGTTGTGCAACCCATTCTCACTATCCTTTTCCAAATTTTTCTACCAGCTTTAACTTAAACTGACTGTCCCCTAAGCTTCTCATCTAACCTTTTGAGTTACTTTTGTTGGTTTGATCTCACACAGATAATTCTTTAAAAGAGCCCAGTGCTCAAGGCAGACATACTTTACTAATTAAGCTAAACTATTGTTTGGTTGAAAGAAGACTTCAGGGGATAGTTTTGGTTTAGGGTTTAAAGTTTAAACATTATCTCAGGACAATAGTTTTGGGGGTTCATCCAACCTCAGTGGCTCCAGAAAGTCTGTATTCCACTGAGAATTTGAAATTCTGTTCTGCATCTCCCCCTTTTAACCAGGATTCTTCTATAGGATCTTTGATTAAAACATTCAGTAATGGTAGCCAGGTACCATCCAGCTCTTCTGGTCTCATGACAAAGGAGGCAGTTGTTCATGGAGGCAGCCAGACTCGCATTCTGTTTCCTCCTGTGATTCCTGACTATCCTTCTTCTGCTGCTGCTCCTGGTAATGGAGAGCAGTTGTACCTTGGATAGCTGCTTTTCAACAAAGTTTTATAGTTTTCAGTGTACAAGTCTTTCACCTGCCTGGTTAAATTTATTCCTAGGTATTTTATTTTTCTAGATGCTATTATAAATGGAATTGTTTTCTTAATTTTCTTTTCGGATTGTTCATTGTCATTGTATACAAACTGAACAGATTCTTGTGTGTTGACTTTGCACTCTGCTACTTTGCTGAATTAGTTTATTAGCCCTAGTAGCTTTCTTATGTATTCCTTGGGATTTTTTTAAATAGGATCATGTGAATAGGGATAGTTTTATGTCTTACTTCTTTATTTGGATACCTTTTATTGCTTTTTCTTGCATAATTATTCTGGCTGGGACTTCGAGTACAATATTGAACAGCACTGATGAGTGGGCATCCTTGTTTTGTTCCTAATCTTAAGGAGAAAGTTCTCAGTCTTCCTTCATTACGTATAATGTTAGCTGTGGATTTTTCATAAATTGTCTTTATCAGAATGAGAAATTTCCCTTCTATTCCTAGTTTGTTGAGTGTTTTTATCATGAAAGTTTGTTGGATTTTGTCAAATGCCTTTTCTGCATTGATTAAGATGATCATGTGGTTCTTTTTCTTTGTTTTATTAATTTGATATATTACATAGAGGTATTTTCTAATGATGAACCACCCTTTCATTCCTGAGGTAAATCCTGCTTGATCATGGTGGATAACCATGATTTGGTAAATAATGAGTGTTTCACTCCGTATGTTTTTGGCTCTGATGTTAGGTTCATATGTACAGTAAAACCTGTGGAAGCCGGAACCTGTGTAAGGTGGAAGTCTGTCAGAGGAGGAAAACTCACTGGGTGTTTATGAGGTAGGATTCTTAATGGAGAGCAATAGAAAAGTGGTAGCACCCTGTCAAAGGCAGAAAACTTGTGAAACCTGGAAAAACAAGGCAGTCCTATCAAGTTCTGGCTCTTCACAGGTGTTACTGGATTTATAATTGTTACATCTTTTTGATGAGTTAATCCTTTTATCATTATAGAATGCCCTTCTTTGTCTCTTATAACAGGTTTTGACTTAAAGTTTATTTTGTCTGATACCAATATAGCCACTTCAGTTCTCTCTCAGTTACTATTTCCATGGAATACTTTTTTCCATCCTTTCACTTTCAACCTATTTATCTCTTTGGGTCTAAGATATGTCTCTTGCAGACAGCATATAAATGGATCCTGTTTTTTTATCCATTCTGCTACTCTCTTTTTGATTGGAGAGTCTGATCCCTCTCTGTTTAAGGTAGTTAACGATAAGGAAGGACTTAATTTTGCTATTTTTCTGTGTTTTATACTTTTTTTGTTTTTCATTTTCTCTAGTACTGCAATCATTTGTGTTTTGTTTGCTTTTTGTAGTAAACTATTTTGATTCCCTTTTCTTTTCCTTTTATGTATATTAGTTAGATATGTTCTTTGTGGTCACCATGATAACATTTAACATCTTAGATTTGTAACAAAACCAAACCCATTGCTCCTTGAGTCTGTTCTGACTAATCGCAACCCAGTGTGTTAGGTGGAGGCGTTTGACCTCTAACTTCACAAGGGAGAAGGAGAATCAATATCAACAGCCGAAGGCTGATTCCTATGAGGCAGAGGTCAGACCTGCCTCCTCTCTCTGCCATCTTTACCAATTTTGACACCAGTTGTCCCTCCCACAGCACTCTCTATTTCTCTGCTGAGTTTGATAATTCATTACAGTGGCCACACAGAACTCACAGACAATACTCATGGTTATGGAGTTTATTAGGGAAGTAACAGGTTACAGTTCAGGTTTGGGAATGCTCAGGATATAGTTCTTCGATCAGGACAGCCTCTTAGCTGTGCATGCAGGCACACCTCTCTCTGGCTCCTCGGCCCCTGCCCAGGAAAGTGTTACATACCTCTTGTGGCTCTGCTGATAAGTGGCCAGAGGCACCCCACCCCTAGGCCTGAAGGCACTCAGCTCTAGCTCCGTGGGTCAGTAAACATAGCTACACCAAGTGCCCAAGGGCACCCTGCTTGAAAGTGCTCAGCTTTCTCATTCCGTGGGCTGGGAAGCCCACCACACTATCTCCTCCCGGTCTCCTGTTGATCACCTGCAGTCTCCTGTGGTGTCCTGCTGGTCTCCTGCAAGTCTCCTGGTTCTGCTGCTGCTATTTCTCTGCCACTGCTTCTTGCCATCTCTGGTGTTACAGTTCCCCCTCTCTGTCCATGTTACAGCTTCTACTCTTTCTCTTTCTTTCAGTGTCTCCCTTTAAGCGAGATGGAAAAACTGACTAGTACCCTGACTGGGGTTCCCAACACCTCATTTGAAAAGTCCCACTCAGTCAGTTGGTGGGAGTTACAAAGATTATGGTTAGAAGGGCCATGTTAAGTAATTACTTGCACTACAGTTACAGATTAGAACTGAGTTCCATAGAGATTGCATAGCAGTAATCTTTATGGAAGCAGATCGCCAGGCCTTTCTTCCACAGTGCTGAACCACCAACCTTTTGATTTGAACTGCCAATCTTTTCAGTGTGCAAACTTCTTATGCCACCCAGTGACCTTTAAATTTATAACAATGTAGTTTAAATTGATACCAGTTTAACTTTAGTAATGTAACATACAAAAATTATTCCCATACTGCTGCTCCTCCCCCTTTATGTAGTTATCATAAATTGCATTATATATAATATGTGCCCAGTAATGTAAATTTAGAATTATTTTTAATCATCTGTCTTTTTGAATCATGTAGGAGATTACTACTGGAGTTGCAAACCAAAAATACCATAAAATTGGCTCTTATATTTTCCTGTGAAATTACCTTTATCTGAAATCTCTTTTTTTCTGTGTACAGCTATGAGTTATTATCTAGCGTCTTTTCAGTTCTATCTGAAGAACTCCCTTTCACATTTCTTGCAGGACAGGTCTTGTCTTCATGGACTTCCTCAGCTTTTGTTAACTGGGAATATCTTAATTTTGCCTTCATTCTTGAAATACCAGAGGAGCCCTGGTGGTGCAGTGGTTAGGCACTCAGCTGTTAACTGTAAGGTTGGCAATTCAGACTCACCAGCCGCTCCATGGGAGAAAGATGTGGCAGTCTGCTTCTGTAAAGATTACAGTCTTGGAAACCCTATGAGGCAGTTATACTGTCTGTAGGGTTGCTATGAGTCAAAATAGAATAGGAGGCAATGGTTTTTTTTTTTTTCCTTGAAAAACAGTTTTGTTGGATATAGAATTCTTAGTTGATAGTTCTTTTCCTTTAGCCCTTTAGCTATGTCATTGCACTGCCTTCTGGTCTCCAAGATTTCTGGGGAGAAATTGGAAGTTAATTTTGTTAAGGATCCATTTTATTGTGACAATTTGCTTCTCCATTTTATTGTGACAGTTTGCTGCTCTCATGTTTTTCTTTTTATCTTTGACTTTTGAGAATTTGATTACAATGTGTCTTGGTGTGGTTCTCTTTGGAGTTTGTTGAGCTTCTTGGATTTGTAGATTCATGCCTATCAAATTTAGAAAGTTTTCTCTGTTATTTCTTCAGATATTCTTTCTGTCTCTTTCTTACTCTTCTCCTTCTGGGATTCCTATGATGAATATGTTAGTTCACTTGGTTGTATTCCGCAGTTTCATTAAGCTTTCCTCTGCTTTGTTAGCCTTTTTTTTTCTTTTTCCTCTTCTGCCTCAATAATTTTGATTACTTCATGCTCTAGTTTGCCGATTCGTTCTTTTGGCAGATGAAATCTGCTGTTGAGTCCTTCCATTGACTTTTTCATTTCAGTTATTGTAATTTTCAGCTCCAATATTTCTGTTTAGTTCCTTTTTATAGTGTCTTTTTATTTATATTGTATCATTTTCCTGGTTTCCTTTAGTTCATTGTCCTTGTTTTCCTTTAATTCTTTGAGCATGTTAATATTGTTGTATAATATTCTTCCAGTCTGTTCATTATCTGGGCTTCCATAGAGATGGTATCTCTCCCTTCATCTTGTTCTTTTATAATGGGCCATGCTTTCCATTCTCTTTCTATGCCTTATTATTTTTTGTTGAATCTGGGACATTAAAATATTACAGTGTGTTAGTGGTCTCAGGGAACATCTAGCTCAATTGGCATGACACAGATTATAAAGACAATGCTCTACATTCTACCTTGGTGAGTAGTGTCTGGGGTCTTACAAGCCTGTGAGCAGCCATCTAAGATACTCCACTGGTCTCATCCCTTCGGGAGCAAGGGAGAATGAAGAGAACAGGATACAAGGAAAAGATTAGTCCAAAGGACTAATTGTCCACAGCTACCAAGGCCTCCACCAGACTGAGTCCAGTACAGCTAGATGGTGCCCAGCTACCACCACTGACTGCTCTGACCAGGATCACAACAGAGGGTTCTGGACAGAGCTGGAGAAGGATGTAGAGCATAATTCTAAATCACAAAAAAAAAAGACCAGATTTACTGGCCTAAAGGAGACTGGAGAAACCTCGAGAGTATGGCCCCCAGACACCCTTTTAGCTCAGTGGTGAAGTTACCTCCGAGGTTCACTGTTCAGCCTGGAGTGGACAGCCCCGTAAAACCAAATGAGACTAACGAGGTACAGGAGTCCAGTGACAAGGGCTAGAAGGCAGAAGGGGACAAGGAAGCTGGTGATAGGGAACACAAGATTGAGTAAGGATATTGTTGATGTGTTGTGAGATTGTTAACCATTGTCATAGGGCAACATTTGTAGTAACTGTTAAATGAGAAACTATTTTGTTCTGTAAGCCTTCATCTTAAGTGAGAATAGCAGCACAATTGGAAGAGCGTAGTCAATGTCACTGACCTGTGTATGTAGAAATTTTTGAAACGGTGTATCTTTGGCTGTGTGTATTTTCACCAAAAAAAAAAAAGGTTGAGAATTTAGAGGGTTAATATAGAGGGTTAATATGTTGTGGGGTTGTTAACCAATGTCATAAAACAACATGTGTACTACTGTTTCATGAGAAACTATTGGTTCTGTAAGCCTTCACCCGAAGTACTATAAAATATAAAAAAGAAAAAAAATATTGCAATGTGTTAGCTTTCTCAATTCCCCTGTATCCCTGGTGTTTTTGAAGTGGACATTGTTAATATCTATCTATCTATGTATATATTGTTTATGCTTATTATTATAAATGAAATTGCCATTGTAGACATTACAAATATGTATTAACAAAAATCTGTTACCATTGAGTCGATTCTGACTCATGGTGATTGATTGCACATGGTTCAGAGTAGAACTGCACTCCATGGGTTTTCAGTGGCTGTAATCTTACAGAAACCAAGCCCTAGTGGCACATATAGTTAAGCACTTGGCTGTTAACCAGAAGGTTGGTGGTTTGAACCCATTCAGTGGCTCCATGGGAGAGAGACCTGGCGATCTGCCTCTGTAAATATTACAATGGAGAAAACCACATGGGGCAGTTCTATTCTGTCACATAATGTTGCTATGAGTCAAGATTGACTCGACACCTAACAATAACAACAGTCTTATGGAAGTAGGTTGCCAGGCCTTACTTTTATGGCACTGCTGGGTGTGTTTGAACCACCAACTTTTCAATTAGTAATCTAGTGCAAACCATTTGTGCCACCCAAGGATCTCACACATGTATGTAAGTGAAATAAATAGAAGTAAAATAAAAAAAAAAATTATTCTATTATTTGTAATTGTGGCCAAAGGATTTAGTTCATGCAACTAGGACAATAATTGATGAAATAAAAATTTGAAATGGTTTAAATTGTTTTAAATTCTTGTTGCAGTTGTTTCTTGCTAAGATTTTTCTTTCTTAATCATTAGGTATAGACAATATATACCAAAGTATTTAAGATTATAGCTTTGGAGACTTAGAGAATTATGATTACTTGGATCTATCACTTATTAGAAGAGTGGCCTTAGCAAGGTATTTAAATTCTCTAAGCCTTAGTTTTATCATCTGTAAAATGGGAGAAAATTATGATACTCACACCACCTACTTTGTATGGCAAGTGTGTTGCCTAGTGCAATGTCATTAAGTGCTATATGGTTAGCCATTTTTTTACCTATTTATATACAAACATTTGAAAATATGTATCACTAAATTTATGTATTTAGTAATCTGTGGTTTTGGAGATTAACTTCTAAAATTACCAGTGCTACCTATCATTCAATTGTTATAATTTCTTAAAAGTATAAAAAAGAAGCCTATTTTGGAATATATTATTAAAGGCAGCTAAATTATGGGTCGGTTTTATTTTGATATCACTTAAATAACAAAATAACTGCTCTGATTTGTAGCTCTTGAAGAAATGTTGACACCTGATGAAAAAGCTAAACTCTATGAAGCAATTGGTTATAGTGAAACAGCAGTTGATCCAACCTTGCCAAAAACAGTAAGATATTTTCTTGCCTTACATCTTGAAGTTTAATGTTAGATATGCCTATCTTTAATCCTTAGAGAATTATATTTGTTACTAGTTTGTTCTTTGATCTTTCTCTGGATTTGTAGGTATTGTGTTTGTTTTCATTTTCATGGTGATGATAAAAATTGCCACCTAATTTTTGGTGGTATGTGGTAATTCTTTAATAGGGAAAGGTATGTTTTAAAAATATTTTGTGGTTTTTAACAAAAAGAGACTAATGGGGCACAACAGTCCAGGGACAAGGACTAGAAGGCAGGAAGGGACAGGAAAGCTGGTAATAGGGAACCCAAGGTTGAGAAGGGACAGTGTTGACATGTTGTGGGGTTGTTAAGCATTGTCATAAAACAATATGTGTATTAACTGTTTAATGAGAAACTGTTTGTTCTATAAACCTTCATCTAAAGTACAATAAAAAAAGAAAATTTGTGGTTTTTAAAATGAATAAACTATACAAATAGCATTTATTGTGTTTATATGCATATATTTTTCGTTTATTCTTCTGAATATACTCTAGTTTGAAGCCATGAAGTTTTTTCTTCATTTGAAAAGTATGTCTGTTGTTCTAAGAGAAAATCACCAAAAACCTGAGCTGTTAGAAATTTTAATAGAAGAATTTACTACTCTGATTGTGCAAAGACCAGGAGCACAAGCAATAAAGTAAGTATCAGTTCATTTTCTTTTATGTTATTATAAAAAGAAATTTCACTATGAGGTTGAAAGTTAGGTCATAATCTTACAGTCTTGGATAAAGAGTACTATGGTTTGTGACCCCACCTGGGAAGGGTCCACGGACCCCAGGAGTGCTGCCCATGTGGCTTTATGCAGGGAATGCCATTAAAGAGATGAACAACAACAAAAAAAAGGGTACTATGATTTAAGAGTATCCTTTTGTAATTTAAGGAACTTTGCTTGTTTTTTATTCAAAACATACATGTATTTTTGGAATTACTAAAATATGTTTAATAGAAAATTGCATGCTGAGGAAATATAGAAGGACACTAAATAATATAAAAATTATAATCACACCACACACATATCAAATAAAAAAACAATTCAGTTTATCTAGGAATGTTTTTATTTTATGTTTATTTTCTAAACAGCATTATTGAGATATAATTTACATACCGTAAAATTCAGTCATTTCAAATAAGGTGTGATACATTGGCTTTTAGTGTATTCTTCAGATTTTGCAACCAGCACTGCTGTCTGATTCCAGAAAATTTCAGCACTCCAAAAGTCAACCCCATACCCACTCATAGTCATTCACGTTACCCTCTCTTTGTGACAACCACTTATTTACCTTCTATCTCTATGGATTTTGCCTGCTCTGGATAATTCATGTGAATGGAATCATACAACATGTGACCTTCTGCCTCTGGCTTACTTCAACGGGCATAATGTTTTCAAAGTTCATCCATATTGTAGCATGTATCCGTACTTCATTTCTCTTTATTGCCAAATAATATTCCCTTGTATGGATATACCACATTTTGTTTTATCCATTCATACATTGATGGACATTTGGTTCTTTGCAGTTTTGGGTTGTTATGAATATTTGTGTACTAGATTTTGTGTGGGCAAATGCTTCCATTTCTCTTGGGTTTATATCTAGGAGTAGAATTCCTGGGTCATATGGTAATTGTTTAACTTTTTGAGAAATTGCCACATTGTTTTCCCAAGCGGCTGCATCATTTTACATTCCCACCAGCAGTGTGTGAGGGTTCCAATTTGTCTACATCCTGGACAACATTTGTTCTTATGTCTTTTTGATTATAGCCATCATCATGTGTGTGAAGTGATATCTCATTGTGGTTTTGATTTGCATTTTCTTTTTCTTTTTTTATTAGTAAGAACAGAAACTTATTGTCTTATAGTTCTGGAGGCTAGGATTAAAAAATCAGGGTGTCAACCATGTTGATTCCTTCTGGAAGCTGTGAGAGAGTCTATTTTATGCCTCCCTTCTAGCTTCTACTGACAGTGGTGATCCTTGGGGTTCTTTGGTGTGTAGATGCATCTTTACATGGCATCCTTCTGTGTGTGTCTCTCTCTGTGTCTCTTCTCCTCTTTTTAAAAGGACACCACTCCTATTGGATTAAGACCTACTGTAGTCCAATATAATGTCATGTTAACTAAACTGGTAGTATCTTTGAATACCCTATTTCCAAACAAGGTCACGTTCATAGGTAGCAGGGGTTAGGACTTCAGCATATCTCTTTTGGGGAACACAACTAGTCCATAAGACCACCCATGTTTTCCTACCAGAGTGGGAAAACGAGATTGGGGAACCACATATTTCTTGATAGAAGTGAGTAATCTTCCAATATGTTTAATATGCAAACACCCAGCTTCTCTGACTAGCCCCTGTAGGCATTTGGGTTTGGGATGATAGATGTGGAAACCCAGGACAAGAGAGAATCAATCAAAGAAGGAACTGGAACCCACACCTACCTGTTTGCCTCAGGTGTAAGCTTTTCCAACTGCACCTTAGAGAACCACCTTCGATGTTGGAGTTCTCTTGCATCTCTCACTCCTTCCACTGCCCTTTTGTGTCAGAAAGCTATAGTCACAGGATCACTGGGTGTCTGTGAGCCATCTTTGGGTAAGGGAGTAGAATGCAGTTGCCCAACAGGGCACACATGTTTAGTCTAGGTCTTCCAAACCCCATTCTCATTCATGTGAACAAAGATTTCATCAGAACACTCGCATCTTAATTAAAGGTCTTCATTTCTCAGCTACAGAAAATGTTTGAGTTGAACTATTAACTATGTTTTCTGGAGCAAGGGACTGCTCAGATGTAGACAGTGGATAAGGAAGGCTTTGTTTTCACAGGTATTGAGTCTCAATCCCATTCTCTTGCCTGTCGGATTCTGTAGGGGTGATAATGTGGTTCAAAATAATTTTTGCCAAGCTCTTCAGCAATCAGTGGCAGACACTGAAGTGACCTTGATTCTTTTTTTTTTTTTAATGTGCTTTAGGTGAAAGTTTACAGCTCAAATTCAATATTTTATACACATACTGATCTGTGACATTGGCTACAATCCCCATAATGTGCCAGCATGCACCCCCTTTCCACTCTGGTTCCTTGTGTCCATTCATCCAGTTCTTGTCCCTTCCTGCCTTCTTGTCTTGCTTTTGGACAGGAGTTGCCCATTTGGTATCGTATATTTGATTGAACTAAGAAGCACATTCCTCGTGTGTTATTTTTTGTTTTATAGGCTTGTCTAATCTTTGTCTGAAAAGTGGGCTTCGGGAATGCTTTCATTTCTGGGTTAGCAGAGTGTCTGGGGGCCATAGTCTTGGGGGTACCTTCAATCTCTGTCAGAGCAGTCTACGTCTGGTCTTTTTTGCAAACCTGAATTCTGTTCTGTATTTTTCTGCCATTCTGTCTGGGACTCTCTATTGTGATCCCTGTCAGAGCTGTTGGTGGTGGTAGCCGGACACCATCTAGTTCTTTTGGGCTCAGGCTGGTGGAGTCTCTGGCTCATGTGGTCCTTTAGTCCTTTGGGCTAATATTTCCCTTGTGTCTTTTGTTTTCTTCTTCTTCTTTGCTCCAGATTGGATGGTTATCAATAGATGTGTCTTAGGTGGCTGCTTGCAAGCTTTTAAGACCCCAGACGCTACCCCTCAAAGTAGGACGTAGAACATTTTCTTTACGAACTATGTCGTGCCAGTTGACCTAGATGTCCCCCGAGACTATGGTTCCCAGTCCACATCCCCAGCTACTTAGTCCCTCAAAGTGTTTGGATGTGTCTAGGAAACTTCTGTGTTTTTGCTTTGGTCCAGTTGTGCTGACTTCCCCTATGTTGTGTGTTGTCTTTCCGTTTGCTGACGTTAACACTTGTCTACTATCTAGTTAGAGATTTCCCCTCCTCCTCCCTCCCCACCCTCGTAACCATCAAATAATTTTTTTTCTGTGCGTAAACACATAATCATAGTATTTTTGGAAGAAGGTCCTTATTAGCCCCCTGGCAGTAGCAAGCTGCACCAGGAAAATGGGCCACCATCCCCAGGGCTATTGATGTGCTGGGGAATGAGGATGTTAGGCATGTAAGCAAAAGCACCACAATGCTTTCTTACCAAAATTCAGCCATCCTATTCTTTATTAATCACTTCCCTGGTCATTAATCACTCCCAAGTTTTTTATTGGATTCAGAGTTTTGAAAAAGTTGATTTTGTAAATTTTTGCCAGGGTAATATTTGTTTCAGTATAGGAACCAATTCTTTGAGCTTCCTACTCCAGTGTTTTCTGTGACCTCCCATACAAAAAAAAAATTTTTTTGCATACATTGTTATGAGACCCTAATTGCTCACCCCATTCTGTGACAGCACACTCCTCCTTTGCGCCCCTGATTCCCGAAGACCATTCAACCCGCTCCTAACTCTCTCTGCCTTCCCATCTCACCTCTGGACAGAAGCTGCCCCTTTGGTCTCTTGTATCTACTTGACTCAGAGGCACACTTTTCACGAGTATCACTTTATGTCCCACAGTCCAGTCCAATCCCTGTCTGAAGAGTTGGCTTCGGAAATTGTTTTAATTCTAGGCTGATAGAGAGTCCAGGGGCCACGCTTTCGAGGGCACCTCCAGTCTCAGTCAGACCATTAAGTCTGGTCTTCTTACTAGAATTTGAGTTCTGCACCGCATCCTTCTACTGCTCCATCAGGGACCCTCTGTTATGTTCCCTGTCAGGACATTCATTGGTGGTAGCCAGGCACCGTGTAGTTCTTCTGGTCTCAGGCTGATGAAGTATCTGGTTTATGTGGCCCATTCTGCCTGTAATGTTAGTATTGATATGGTTGGATTTGTGTATGACATTTTGCTTTTTGTTTTCTATATGTGTCATGACTATTTTATTCTTCTGTCTTCCTTTACTACATTCTTTTGTATTAAGTAGATGTTTTTTAGTATACCATTTAAGTCTTTTCCTGATTTTTAATAATATTTTTTCAAATTATTTTCTTAGAGGTTACTCTAGGGCTTATATCTAACTTTTTAGAATCAATTTTCTATTTATACTAACTTAATTCCCATAAGATATACAAACTTTACTCCTATATAGCTTCATTCCCTCCTCCCATTTTTTTAATTGTTGTAGTTTAAGTGAAAGTTTACTATTCAACTTAGTCTGTCATACAAAAATTTATACATACATTGTTATGTGACCGTAATTGCTCTCCCTATGCTGTGACAGCACACTCCTCCTTTCCACTCCTGATTTCCTGTGTCCATTCAGCCAGCTCCTGACCCTCTCTGCCTTTTCATCTCACCTGAAGACAAAGGCTGTCCATTTAGTCTCATGTATCTACTTGAGCTAAGAAGCAGACTCTTCACGAGTATCATTTCATGTCCCATAGTCCAGTCTAATCTTTGTCTGAAGAGTTGGCCTTGGGAATGGTTTTAGTTCTGGGTTGACAGAGAGTCCGGGGGCCATGCTTTCTGGGGTTCCTCCAGTCTCAGTCAGACCATTAAGTCTGGTCCTTTTACTAGATTTTGAGCTCTGCACCCCACCTTTCTCCTGCTCCATCTGGGACTCTTTGTTGTGTTCCCTGTCAGGGCGGTCATTGTTGGTAGCCAGGCACCATCTAGTTCGTCTGGTCTCAGGATGATGCAGTCTCTGGATTATATATATAGCCCTTTCTGTCTCTTGAGCTAATACTTT